AGGGGGGGTGCATGGTTAGAAAATGGTCATTGCTAGCTGCATACCGCCGACCACAGCCTTTTTTTTTACATTCTTTGGATCTGTCGGGCTAGGGCGGCACGCCATCCCCAAATTGGTCTGCTCACGGCGAGGCTCAGGCCAAGACCGCCTGCGTCAACCGACTACAGCCGGATGATCATGTGCGGCACCGAGATGAATGAAGTCGTCGACCTTCAAAGCACCCGATCTTAACGTCGTACCCGTCGTGCTGGCTGGTGTCGTGGTCGTGAGAGCACGCAGCCGGAAGCGAATGCCGCCTGCCGATAACCACGGATTGGCAGAGTCTCTGCCAACTCCAGCCCCCGACCCAACATGGTTCACAATGTCACACTTTGCTGTCCAACAGTTTGCGGATCGGCCCGCCATCTGGAAATCGCTCTGTGGCGAGTGCCCGTGGAGTCACGAAGGATGCAGTCTGCTTCAACCTCGCATTGGAAAACAAACATGGGCTTTTCCTTGGACTTGACTTGCACAAGCTGGAAAGCCATGGCTCTCGATTCGACAGCAAGCGATTGGTTCATGACTTTTGAATTCCTTGACCTCGTGAGCTTCTGATGTCGTCACTGTCACACAGCCCTAACTCTGCTCTCAAGCGGCACTCGGTGTGGAAGGTTTCCGCAGGCTTCTGTGGCAATGAAGAATCGGCCAGCATGTTCACCCACAGTGCCGGAGGTTCGTGCACCAGCTTCCACCAACACCTGCGAACTAACCAGGCTGGGTGCCTTGAAGTCAAGATATTCGTGCGGTTCACTCCGTTTGCAAATTCTCACGCCTGACACACCTCCACATGACCGTGGAAGACCGCCCAGTGAAGTGGTGTTCGATTCCAGCGGTCCAGCCAATCAGCTCCAGCATTACCTCTCATTGCTCACCACTGGCTACTGCCGCTACCTGTAAAATCTGACTATGAACTTTCCACCTTCGTTCCGCGCCAACCCCCGCTCGCCTTGGAGCAGTGCGGTCGCAGTGGCAGGGTTGCCGGCTTTGGCTGCTGCATGAAGCGAGGTACTGCGGCTCGCTGTGTCCTTGTCTGAAAATGCCCGTTCCGAGACGCTCTGTTTCGCACCTTCTAAACGGGAGCAGCACTTAGCCTGGGATTCCTGCCGTTGCTTCGACATCAGCCCTGGCCTGGCACCAGGGCCGGAGAAAGGAGACACGGCTCTGAGGCAACGTGCGCAACGCCAATCCTCGAGCAGCAACTCTACCATCCGCTGGCCGCAGCGCTCTGCAGCTTTGAGAAGCGTGGGCGTGCCATGAGCCTCAAGGACAACCGCAACTAGTAACTAGTTACTCGGGCCTTGCACAGCACAGATTCAAATGCAGCTTCGGTGCATCCCGTTGCTGTGGCTGTGCGCGGTGCTGGAGAAGCTCTTCAGCGCAGCATACGTGGTTCCCCATCACAGCCTGAGAGCATCTCCCCCTTGCCGATAGAGCCAGAATCGCTGCAACTTTTGCACTTGTTCCCTTAAGGTTGTAACCAAAATCAAGGGCGTCGAGCCGTGTCTGGCATATTGTCCCTGCAGGGTGCCTCGCCAGACACATCGGCGAAAGGTGGGAAGTTGGCATCCAACATCCCGGCCTCCTTCCACAGGAGCCCCTTCGCGAAGCAGCCTTGGCTACAAGACACTTACTTGACTTCTTATGGCACCTCTAAAAAACACAGCAAGAAACAACGTGCACGCTAGACAAATCTGCGGTTGAACACGAGGAGGAGTCTTCTTCCGACGCGACGAGGCGCAAGCGTACCAGAGGCACGAGGCCGGCCTCAGCCGCACGGCCTTGGGGAAAAACAGGTCTCAGGTCTCAGATGGTCGCAGGTCTGATAGATTCTGATAGATTCTTTTTGGAGGGCGCCTGGGGGAGTGTGGCAAACGACCTGACGCCGAATCCGAATTCGTAAAGCCATATTGCTTTAGATGACGCCGAATTGTGGCACCACACTGTCTGACGCCGAATTTGTCCCCTGACGTCGAATTGGGTCGTGACGCCCGAAGTGTCTCCTGATGCCTGCTGATGCCACATTAGGTGGTGACACCGCATTGCTGAACGTTGCCTTAGGTGATGATGCCGAATTGATGGCGCTGCAGTATAGGTGGTGACGCCGAATTGTTGATGCCGAATTGTGAAGCCACATACCCGAGGCGCCCATGGAGCTGATGCCAAAAGACCAGGCCCTGATCCTGATGTGCACGGCTCTGTTCTGACAACGCACGAGGCTTTGGACATGTCCAGATACAGGAAATGCAGGCAACGCTGCGCATGCTACTTGTATTGTGTTCGGCGGTGGCGGAAGCAATCAGTTTGCGCTCCCACATACTTCGGCGGGACTTCGAAAGGGTTTTGAACTCAAAGGCTCTTGGATTCATCGGGGGTTTTTGAGGATGCTCTTTTTCAATGCACTCATTGCTGTCGCATTTCTTTGTGGCGTCCGCCGGCAGCAGTTCCTGCAGTCCTTTGCCGAGGATGGAGCCATGAACTGATGGAGCGCCCTGACGTTTAAAGCAGAACTCTTACAAAACTTGAAGTCCGGGGTGGAGCCTTGGACTGATGGGCTTCCCGGGCGCAATGTGGACTCTAACCAATCTCTAGTGAGGACGCCTACGGTACTTCTGAGCGAAGATACAGATTGAGCCATTCCAAACGTGCCCTTGCCGTCAAAAAGAAGCACGCATGGAGATGGAGTTGCGGGGGGTGGGTTGCTTTGGTCCTGTTGGCCAGCCAACCAACCAATAGACTGTTGGGCGCACACTATCTCACAAACCTGGAGCCTTGGACTGATGGAGAGCCCATGATTTTAGCATCAGATCTCTTGCGAGACCCACGCTCAATCACATGTCATGCGACTCATGCACGTGAACTGCGCTTATCCAGTATGTGTCTTCGCGAATGCATCTTCACAATGTGGATGCGTCTTCAAGTCGTTTGCCACACTGCGCAGGGACCCGTAATGCATATTTTCGAATGCGGAAGGCAGGGGAGGTCAGAGGCATTGTGTCGAGGTGCAGAGCAGCTGCTCGGCGGTGTCTTCCGGAACCTGCAACAAACTCGGCTGCTCAGCATGACAGTCGGCCTCCTCGGACTTGACGGCTTACATGCGCCTGAAGCTAGGGAAATCGATCTAGAATCTAAACAACCAATGCTGCTCGTGAGGTTCCCGGGCCCGAGATGGCTGGATTCTCTTAATGGAGTCCTTACCCTTACCGGCTTACCGGGCAGCTTCCCACTTTGCCGGGCAGCTTGCTCCCACGCACCATGGTCCAGCTCAGGATCTCGATCGCCGCGCTGGACCTTGTGCTTCACGTAGTTGATCCGCAGTTCCGCAACGTCCTCCTGCAATGCGCTTGGCTGTCAGCGGAATGTAGCAAATGTAGGTGACCAAGTGCGTATGCATCCATCCACCCAGGCCAGCTTGCATTCTTGCTTACGGACATACCTGTACACCTGCTCAACAACTTCACCGTCACATGGCTGTTGAAGGGCAACAAAAACAAGACTGTCGCCGCACAAGTAGATGTAGCTACGAGTATCTGGCCCTCGGGGAGTATGGGCTGTAGACGTGTAGAGTGTAGACCAAGCGCAAAGTGGCAACGCGCGAGGACGCAACACTCATGTTCTCCAAATTCTCTCCGAAGGTGTTTTTCCCGAATGCCGCGTCCTCGCTGATCTTCTCCTCGGTCATAGAAGCATCCGTGCCTGGGAAGCGGACGCCACCTCGAGCCAACATCTGGCAGTAGATTCGTAGCCGGGGCGAGTGGATCAGCTTCTCTGGGGACAGGATGATGCCCAAAGGGCTCGCAGGGCTGGCCTGGGCATTGGCAGATTGTTCTGCGGGTTGCTCGAACCGACAGATTTGGACATAAAGTTCTCGGTCTCTCATGGTCCGCGCCATATGCACCTGCGCTTGATACCTCTGCACTCTTCGCTGCTGAGGACCTGTCATCTTGCCCGGCAGCGGTGGCCAATGCAACCAGGCGCCGGGAGACCTGATCCAGAGGTCCTACACTGCTACATGGGATTCAAGTACAAAGCAGTCACGCCCAGCAGCAGCAGCCACAAGGCCAACACAAGCGACGACGACTACTACCCATTGCAACGTGGATGACAGATCTTGCGACAGGTTTGACATGGTTTGACCATCACGCTCGGCACACCCACGTGAGGACACCACAACGAGTCCATGGTCTCAAGCCTATCCAGACCAACTATTTAGCAGCACGAGCAATTCCGAAACGAGTGATCTCTCAGTGCCCTGCCACGCAAGGCAAGAATGCCATCCTATCACTCCTGCACCTACCACTGACCTTGCGGACCAAAGGTCCAAGGCCTGCGATCCCACCCTCTGCAAAAAATGGGCTCAAACTCCAAACCGAGTTCGTGGGCAGAAGGAGTGCCTTGCTACTGCTACAGCCCACCATATCTCTGGATGAGTCTTGTCTTAACTCTCTTGCTGTGACCTTCACCAGACTTGTGATGCAAGGACCCATGACAGGGAATGAACGTCCCCAAATCTTCAGAGGAAGCCTGCAGCACCGACATGGAGTGCCCTCCCAGTGCGAGGAAGTGGTCGTTCGGCCCGACTCCCGACCGCTTCAGCACTTCCTTGGCCGAAAAAAGGCATTGGTCTGGGCCTTCTGCAAACCCCCTCTTGCTCTTGTTGCAACATTTTGAGAGCGCTCGAATTGCCTCCCACACGCTGGCCACCACGCGCTCGAGAGCTGTCAGAGATGAGGACGACGTGGAGGAGACGTCCACGCTCTCCGGCAAGGCTTTTGTGTCAACCTTCCTTCCAAGAGACGGCAGGAACACATCTCGGGCCCCCTCACGGCCATATCTCGCGGCTCTGAGGTTGGGGCCCATTCTGCGTCAGAGGGAGTCGCTGCATGAGCACGAAACGACTCGGAAGCATGTGCCGTGGCAGCTCCGTGCTGGAACGCGTGAGAAGGAAGTCGCTGACCACCGGCAGCACGCCTTTGAAACAGATGCAGCGCAAGACCCGCTTTGATGCGCTAGAGGAAACCGCAGGCCGAGCTTTTCTCCTAAGGTTCTTCTCCAAGTGCTTCTGGGAAGCAGTAGGGCTCATGCATCATGACAGCCGCATCGACAGACACCTGGACCATGAAATGATGGCAAGGCAGGCTTCGCTTCAGCTTCGGCTCATGTCGGTCTCCCGTCCTGGCAGTAGGCCACCAAGAAGCCATCACGAAGCTTCACTGAGCAGTTGGCGATGATACCAGACGAAGTCTGCACGACAGCCGACTCAATCTCACCAAGCTCGACGCGCATTCCACGAATTTTGACTTGGTTGTCGAACCTCCCCATAACCTCAAGCTCTCCATCCAAAAGACGCCCACCATCGCCAGTTCGATACCATCTGCCCGGCAGGTTCGGGAGCTCAACGAACTTTGCAGCTGTGAGTTCCGGTCGGTTGTGGTATCCTAGCAGGCTGTCAATTAGAACAGATTGCAAACCCCCCCCCCCCCCAGCAGCAATTGCTAGTTTAGCTTCTTACATGTTCTTACCAGGGTGCCAATGCCCACTTGGACGCCGCCCTGAACGATCTCACCAACCTCGTCGTCCTTCTGCTGTGCCAATCCGTCACGTTCCTAGGGGCTGAGTTCAGCCGCATTCCGGTAGTAGTGAGCACGCTGCACCCTCCCAACAACCAATCTAACAGTTCTGTTGAAAACTGCTGGGAGTCGAAAATCCGCACTTCATTGCCAGGATAGGGGCGCCCCACCAATGTCGCACGATCTCCAGGCAGCATGTGGCGTAGGGTCTGCCAAACGGTGCCTTTTCGTGTGCGAAGCGGAAACACCCACTCGTTCAAGACGTTAGAGGATGTGAGAGGCAATTCCTTGACCGAATTTGATAAGCCTGGCTTATGCCAAGGTGCACTCTGTCGTTCCATAAGTGTTCAACAGTTTGAGGGCCGGTGCCCACTGATCGAGCAAAGGTTGAGGGGCGCGCTCCCCTCCAAGGCAAACGCTAGTGAGACTCGGCAAGTCCATGCCATTCCTGCAGGGAAGGAGTACCCACATGCCCTGCAGACTTCTACAGTAGCTGAACTGTGAAAATCTGCTTATATTCCTCGACAAAGCGCTCGAGAGACTGCCAGAGAGATGGAGTGCAGGTTACGTGTGTTACCTCGAGACGGTCGATGGCCCAGCCCAGGTTTGCAAAGAACAGCATACGGGGTGCCACGGCCACAGTGCCCCCAACGGCCCAGGTTGCAAAAATGTCTCCTGAGCCGTTATGTGGTATCAGCCCGAATCGGCTCTCAGATGCTTAAAGAGAGCAAGGCCGAGAGGCCGATCGATGGATCGAAGGTCGAGGCCGATGCGATCAGCACTACACTTGATGAGCATATGGACTGCGGCGGATTCTTGACTTTGCACCTGGAGCAAAAGCACCGCACAGTACCGAACCATGGAGGGGTGACCAAGCCTAAGCGTTTCAAGCGAAGGCACCAGTTGCAGAACGCCTGGTGAGAGATCAAAACTCCTTTCGGCTGACCTGTCGAGCCGCTTGTGAACCACCTTAGGCAGCTGCCGCAATGGTACTCTCGGCGGCTAAGAAGACACTAAACCCTAAAGCCTTTTGGCCTTTTGCATCCAGGACTCTCGCAACCAGCCGGGAAACTCCGCAAGACAGCAACGCAACCCTCCAGAAACCCCTAAACCCTAAACTCATCACCGGCACCCCTTTATGGTCTCATGGCACATGTAGGCCGGAGAGGTCGGATCCAGGGCCGCGAGGGTTTCCGGCTCGGGCGAGGCAAGGTCTGAGCTCAAGGGAACTTCCGTGCTCAGGTCCAACACCCGGCCGATCTCTGCGAGCTTCCTGGGTCACAGCAGGTCACATCCTGAGGCTCTTGAAATTACAAAGAAGGGAAGCCAAGCGTCTTGGCGTCGCCCCAGTCTTTCGTGACGAGGCAAGTCGCTTGCGACTCTTTGGCCACATGGCAGAGGCGGGAAACCGGATCATGTGGGTCCAGTGGCACAAGCACCATGCCCCTGCCAGATGCAGAGAGGCTCTCAGAAGCTTGTGCGATCCTGGCCGTGCCTTCTCCATCCTGCGAGCTCTGCAAGTGCCAGGTATGGCCCATCATCAATGGCGACACCCAGGACACCTCCCTGCAAACGGTCGGCGATGAGGCCACTCAGCTGCCACACCTGTCCAAACGGGACAATGACGTGTGATGCCCTGACGACTGACGAGGTCGCGGCAGTTGTGCCTGGCGATATGTCAGGCACCCCAGTGTTCTCTCTGTGGTCAGGAAGCGTAGGGCTGGCTGATCTGGACAGGAGGCCACCGACTGCTGCACCAATGCCAGCGCAGTCATGTAACACTGGGACTCCGCATGGGCGTCTAGGGTGGCAGCATGTATGCCGGCTGTGCAGATGCTTCGGTGAAACGCTCGTTCCGTGTTCCAATGGTTCCACCGGTAGATGCATCTGGGGGTTTTCACGCGTGCTTCCGAGTATAAGTCCTGTCGTGTCCAACCGAATCAGCATCGACTAATGCGTCTGATGAAGTGGCGACTGTACTGAAAATCGACAGGAAGCTTCCAGCAATCCACCGCTCACAAACAGCGAGAGCATGGGACATGATACGCCTCGCTTTTTGCTGGTTTGTCCGCGCCCGTCTGAGCTGGTCATCGCTATGTACTGGTGGTCAGTCTCGTTCTTCCTCAACTGCAAAACACCTCAGCAGCCACACTTTCACGGTTTGTGTGCAGTCCTCTCACCCTTCACCCTCGGCGACTGCGCCTGATGATAGCGATCCAGAATGGCTGCATCCTGGAGTCTCGCTGTTTCCGGAAAGCTGGGAAAAAAGCGAATTGTTTTCTCGGTTCTTCTGGCAAAAAGCTTGGCCCCTCGCGACATTTCGCTTGCCAGCCATCGCCTGCTCTGGACAGGCTACTTAAGATACTTAAGATCCCTCGGCCATCCTCTGCCCAAAGACTGCTGCGAGCTGGCACGGGGCCTCTCGCAGTCTGGCTGGCGAGATGGACGGGGAAAGCCTCAGTCCTGGCACTTTGTTGAGGCTCCTTTGAGGATACTTTCCGGGCCCTGGGCCGGCAGGGCCTCCGGGGGCGGGTGCAGCGGGAACTTCAGCTCCCGAGTCGGAGCTGCTCACCTCCTCGTGGCGAAAGCTTTTGGGCACGGAGTCTGCCAAGTCTCTACTTCGCCCACGGCAGTATATGGATGGTGCGGTGGCACGATTCGTCAACAGCCAGGGCTTTCAATGCCACAGAAATCAAAGAAAGATGGCAGAAGCGACTAACGGTGCATGCAACGACTTGGGAATACAAGGATTCCTGTGGGCTGGGCTTCGCTTTCAGCTGCAGCGAGCAACTTCAATCTGTTGATTTCTTTATCACCGTGACGTCCCTCTGAGGTTGAGGCACTGCTGCTGCTCTCCACCTTCTTGACAACAGCCGGCGGCCTCAGTTAATGCTACTTGTAGCTCTAGAGGCGGCGCTTCATCGCGATGCTTGGAAGATCTGTGGCTTGGCACTTCGGTTGCAACTTCTGAAATCTTCGCCCGCCATCGGGTCAAAAATCACCCGTCCAAGAATCACCCCCCCTCCAGTAGTGGTGCCCAGTCTAGAGATGATTTTAGCGCTCCCTGGCTGGCTACTACATGTCTCCGGTACCGCGTCCATGGTGCCATCATGCGTGATCGATGGTGGTCCATCTTAGTCTAGGCTGCGCACTTGGCCACTGCAACTGGTGCCTTCCTGAGTCGACCCAGAGGTCGCTCATAAGCTGGCAGCACTGCAACTTTGCACTTACTGGGGGGCTGACGCCGAGGGGGGTAAAGGCAAAGCAACCTCTTCGCTCTCGGAGAGCTCGGAGGAAGTGTAGGATGAGGAATTCTCGGGACCGACATCCAACACCGGACAGGTGCTGGTATCTTCTTTCTCTTTGCCGCCTGGATCAGAGTCGCCATTCAGAAGCAATCAGAAGCTCGCCGGCAAAATGCTCAACAGGGCCTTTGGCAGGCTTGCGGTTAAAAGCCTCGGTGGATCTCTGCACTGCCGCGCTTGAGGCCTAATTACCCTTAACCCCAAACCCTAAATTTTCTGAGGGCCAGGTATTTCGGCCCTAATTAGAACCCTATAAACCCTTAAAAAAACTTAATTAGGGCCTAAGTAGAGGGGCCTCTGGGCCCCAGACTGGCGTCGCCATCTTTGGGGCCGCCGGAACCGCCTGGCCCTTCGCCGAGGGCCTCTTCGGAAAAGAAGGCGACCTGAGGTCCCCCATAAGCTCCCGCGCTTGCCGCGTTCAGAGAACATGGTGGCCATTCTACTAGAGTCTATTATGGTATATGATAGTAAACGTGATAGTCTATGATAGTATATGATAGTATGTTATAGTATCTTATATTATGTGATTCTGGTACCAAGGGGCCAGGACCCGGGTGGAGGAGCCAGCGGACGTGCCACCGGCGGGCGAGGACCTGCAGCACAAGTGCGGCACTCCGCACCACAGTTGGCTCTCAGCTTTTTTTGGGGGGGTGGATGGGGTGCCAGCCCATTGCGGGGATTCCGGCCTGGTGCGAAGTCACCAGGTGGCGGTGCAAGGATCGGCCCAGGCCGGCCGGGTCCGCTAGGTGGACCCGGAACAGGTCGTGCCACAGGGGCCGGCGCTGCGGCTGCTGGGGAAGCAGGTGCCGCTGAGGCAGGTGTAGTTGCTGGCGGCGCAGGAGCTGAGGACTTCTTGGCAAAACCTTTCCGGCCTCAGTCCGATGCAATCAACCAAGAGTCTGCAGATGTGCTGCACAGGAGTGCTCTCAAGAGGAAAGGGCCAAACCAGAAGGATCCGACTAATGAGAATCTACCGAGGCCATGGCTCGCGGCTGAGTCCTGCTAGACTCTCGCTTTCACAAACTAAGCACGGTCCTAGGCGGATTGATGCAGATCGACATTTTTGCGCCCGCCTCCGGTGGCTCCTGCGCAGCTTTTGCTTGTGATTCTGGTTCCGTCCTCAAGGCACTGAATGTGACAGGGTTGAGGGTTTAGGGATGACAGGGTACTTTTCGCAAATGCTGACTTCACGGATGTTGCAGGAGGCTGCCAAGGTAACCCAGTGACGCAGCAACCAGCACGGAAGTGCACTGCAAATGAGCGTCTCTCGAACAGTCTCTTTCACAGCAGGGGTTGCAGTTTGCCTCACTTCCAGGACAAGTCCACATTCACATGATGCCTCTCACAGGCAGAAGAGTTGTGGCCTTGTCTCCTCAGCTTTGCCGGCTTTTCCAGCTGCTGGTTTTCGACCTCGAGAATTTCCGACTGCAGCGTTATCTATCGACAAACATGCGATCTATGTTGGGCAACAACAACAACAACAACAGATTCAGAGCCGTTGTCCAACACCGACACTTCAGTCAGAGTCACACGACTGGCAGGAGTGACCGATTCTGTTATCGACCGTCGGGATACGCGTTGTCCCAAGTGCTGCCTTCCTTCCTCCTTCCTTCCTTCCTTCCTTCCTTCCTTCCTTCCCTTCATGCGCAAACTGGCCGCGCGCTGTGAAGCTGATCCAAATGGCTCTTTCAAAAGCAGTCAGCTCCTTCTGCCTGGCAACGTGTCTTCCTTCCTTCTGGGGCCCCGAACCCGATCTTCCACCAGGTGCTTCACGCGTTGATAGGTGCATTCGCATTATGCACACAGTCAGTCGGCGATATGCACATTCATTGTCTCCGAGGCTCAGATTACATGGGGATACTCGTTACTTGCAGGGCCAATCCGTGCTGTCGATACAAGCGGAGTTTGCTAGTGGCCGAGCGGTTTGTACTGCAGCGGCTTCCAGGCATCTGAAGCCGCAACAATGTAGGATCGACTTCACCACCACGAAACGTCAGTGACGTGATCTCTGACCATTCGTTGAAAAGGCCGCGGCGGCTTTCCTGCCTTCTTTCTCGCCGTTCCTAGCAAGGTCGAGCAAGGAGTTGCACATGCTAAGCCACGCTGAGTCTTGTCGAGTCTCTGCTGAGCTCTTGGCGCGATCACGCCTCCGATCGCGGCGCTTTTCGCGGTCACGGCGGCCCTGGCACATGCTCTGTGGGATGCTTCCGCTCTTCTCGACCAGTTCAAATCCAGTGCTTCCACCTGGTGTTTGCGCCGACCCGTCCGACCCGAGCGGTGACGTCTGCGTCCTCGCAGGACGGATGGCAGCTCTTGGTGGCTCTGCCAGTGTCGAGCCAGTTTGGGCAGACTTCTGTCTGAACCCTGGCTCTCCAGCGCGACGGCCATGTCCAGCTCGAGCATTGCTGGCACTCTCCTTAGCGGCAGGTTGAATAGATCGAAAAGCTTCTGCTACAGAACACGGCTCTGAGGAGCCAGCAGAGTCCGCAGCGCTGGCACTCTCACTCTGGCTTTCTTCCGACTTGTCATCTTCTAGAGCTGCAAGCCTCAAGCTGCTCTTCATATGTTTTGGTTAGATGCTTGAAGCACGGCTCTACAGCGAAGTGGGTTCAGGCAGCCACAGCGCGGGCATGCCAAGCAAGTGGCTGGGGCGCGAACTTTGGCTCTTCGCCATATTTTTCACAGATAAGGCGATAAAGTTCTCTCTCCTGGCCCTGACATGACTAGAGAAACGAGTGGTAATAGTTGCGGCCGACAAAGTCGGGAGATTCGAAAAGTGAAGACTGGCTGCGCATGCTTTTGGATCGGGCCTTGTACTTGGCCAGAAGGTCCTTGACTTCACTTAGCTTGGCCGGATTGCGCCGGTTGTACACATCCCGGATCAACTCCACGATCTTTGTCAAGGAGAACTGGCCGTGCACAACCCAGCAATGAAGTTGCTCCGTCTCTGGATTTCCGGCCTTCTCGGCTTTCTTCTCTATCTTGCTGTCCTCGTCTTGCTCCTCTTCCTCCTCCGCACCTTCGGCATCATCTCCGTCCTTGTCATCGTCCTCCTCGTGCTTGTCCTCCCCTTCCATTTTGTCGTCCTGTCGGTGAAACATGGCTGGAGCTGGCAATTGCAGAACAGGAAGCGTGATGCGAATATTTGCCAAGTCGCCTCCTGTTCGTCTGCAACATCTTCGTCCTTCTCCTCGCCTTGCTGGGCGTCAGCTCCAGTCTGGAGTACCTCAGTAACCGGCGACGGTGGCTCATGTTGGACAGCTGGAATGCTGCAAAGCCCGCGCGGAAGCACATTGCTCGCAGGCCCCGGCTTCATCATCCTCCTCATCATCATGCTGCCCACCTTCCTTGGCATCCTGAACTGAGTTGGAAAACCGCCGCAAGGATTAGATTAGCCATGTCTCACCTACTCCAAACGTCTAGAAGCAGACCAGACTTGAGAACCCCCATGCCAGCCTCAGCTTCACTATCCTTCTGCTCCTTCTCGTCCTGCTGGGCCTCGCCTTCGTGGCATCAAGCAGTCCAAACAAGCTGCAGTAGACTCGGATCCTGTGGCCTCAATCTCCCAGGAAATGAGGGCATGCGGCAGGAGCGTAGTGATTGTGGCGAGAGTGCTGCTCGTACAGTACCGGTGAGGCTAGGACGCAGACGTACAGGCACTCACTACTGTGGTCACCGCTGTGGTCGTCGTTACCCCTAACTGAGCAGCGTAGTATAGTTTATTATGTTATATTATACTATATTATATAGTATGGTATATTATGCGACAGTTTATTACATGAGACTGAATTGATAGCCAAGCACTGATACAAGTCCTCCGCTGGGCCGCGGGCTTTCAGAACGCTGCGACGCTTGCTCGGGCTCAGGGTCCGCCACGCCCTGAGCGCTCTCGCTTTCAGGGTCCGGGGTGGAGGATTCTCAAGGCTTATAGTATACTAATAGGATCTTGCAGGGTTTACTTGGTTCGGGCCTGCTTTCTCAGGCCTTCGTTTCTGGAGCATTCCGCTTGCAGGGCTTACTGTCATTGATTTTCACATCGGTCCGGGGGCGTGGAAACGACCGCTCCAGTGAAGCCTTCAGTTACTATGCTAGCATAAGAACCAACTCATGGCAACATCATTCAAGCAGCTTGCTCCACCAAACCGAGAACATCTAAGCAATAAATGAAAGAACAAAACCGGATCACGAAGGCAAACAAGATGGGACGACAGAACTGCAAAAACCCGACTTTGACTCGCCTTCTGCTGGCTCTGCTCCAGCGGACGTCGCTTGGGCGCTGCCTTTGCTTTCGTTCCAGGAGTCGGAAGACCTCAAAAATGAGCAGAAACATCTAGAGCTCCCCAAACTCCAAATCGAAGGCAAGCCGAGGTCGCAGCCTGGGGCGACCAGGGGAGCTGGGGCTGGCTCCTTTCGTCAAAACACCGACAAAAGGCGGAAAAGCTGAAGGGCTGACGGGCACAAGAAGACAAGCACCAGCACCGGTCCTCCTGATGCTCCTCTTCGTCTTCCTCTGGCTCGCTGCTCTTCTCTTGACCCTCCCTCTCCGCTTCCCCCTTGTCTTCCTCCACTTCTGGAGACTCGCCTGCTTTTCCGTCAACCTGGGCCATATCTGATCGGTGCAGGGAAAAGTCGAAGCTTCATCGCTTCGCCGAGCTGCCTCCGCCTCCGCTTGCTCTTGACTCTTCCGGTCCTCACTGTCGACTTCTTTTGTCTCCGGCGCCTCGTCGCCAGCCTCTCCTTCCACCTTGGCCTGCGCGTGCTCGGCCTTCGGTACGCGCCTTCGGCGCTTGCGCTTCACCCTCCGCACGCCAGTTCGGTGCCTGCGGCGGCTGATGTTGTCACATTTCTTACCAGGTCTTACCCGTGCAAAAGAGGCTGCTGCCAAAGCACTCTGGAGCCGCCGCTTCTTCCCCACCAGAGCTGCGGACTTTTCGCTTCTTCTTGCGGCCTTGAAGCAGGCACGACACGACCGGGACTAGGAAGCCCTCGCTGCCACCGAACTGGGCCGAACAAGTGTTCTTGAGTTCAACCTGATTGTTGTTTGTAACTTGTTGTCCATGGCATGAGATACGCACATGAGTATGAGAACGGCAAGTCATCCGCAAAGGCTCTCCTTCGGAAACTTGCTTTCAAATTTGACAAAGGCTGTCCAGCTAGCAACGTAGTAGCATCTGCTTCTGGTCGGAAAACACCAACACCGCCTGAATAGCCTGATTGCATTGAAGCGAAGTGCACCGACTTTGCTGTCTCAGTCGATCTCCCGGCTGACTGCGAGATCGAGCAGTTCTTGGCATTGAAGCTGCTTCATTGTTGAATGAAAGCCGTGATAAACCTACGTCTTTCTGCTTCCGCTGGTGAATGAAAACCGTGAAACACTTCAGCTTTGGTGCTTCCATTACTGTGAAAAGCTTCAGTCTTGCTACTTCCATTGTTGAGCAAAACCCAAGAAAAGACTGTGCAACGACTTCTATCGCGCTGCTTCCATTGTTGAATGAAAGCTGTGCTTCCAGCTGCATAGACCATGTTGTGTGGATCTGAGATGCTGGCTGGGCTCTTCTTCTCGCTTACTTTCTTCAACCTGTCGAAGTTTGGAACCCTCTGGGCAACCCCGGCCACTTGCGGAGTTTGCCTCCTGCATGGCTTCAGCCAACACCTGCTGCATGCCAATGGAAAGACGCAGCGCTTGACAAGCTTTCAACTGGGAGGCCTCATCAGCAGGCTTTTCTGGTACGTCTGCTTCTTCTTGCTCGGGGGCTTCTTCATCCTCGGAGCCCAGCTAGAGCACATCCTCTGTGAGTTCGAAGTCTCAGAGACAGAAAACCCTGAGCAAGTTCGGGAATCTGACTCATTGCTTGCCGAGGCACCGCAACACCTGGGGCTGCGTCATTGCGCCGACTTGGTTTGGAGGCTCCCTTGGCGCGGGCCTAGGAAGCCGAGAAGAACAAGAAAGGTTGTTTAGATGTTCGAATGGCGAGGTGCATGCAGAACAAACATCAGAATTTTGAAGTTTTGGGACTCGCGCAGCAATGGTGGGCGGGGGCTCATCCGGCGCAGCTGCCTCGAATGCGCCATGCTCGAGCAGAAACAAACATGCAAGCTGCATGTGAAAAGCAACCTAAATGTGACCTCCCCGTACCATATGCACCGCAGCACTAGCCTCCTCCTGACAAACAGAAGCACCATCCCTGCACTCGGAAGCCGAATTGCTGTAAACGTCTACCTGTAACGGCGCCGCCCACGTCTCTGCTCTCTCGGGACTCTTGGACCTTAGGCCCGCCACCGTGAGTTCAGCTCGTCTGCTTGCGACCTCTTGAGCCGCCTGTGGGATGTGACTGCGGGAAGCATGCCCAGGGTTAGGAGGGGTCCCCCTCCTACGTAACTCGGGTCTGAATTAGGGTCTGAATTCAAGGAATTCCACGTTGCAGGCTGCAAGTCATGTCGCTGCAGCAGGCGCGGTCTTAAGTATGTCTGGTCCAGTTGGGACACTTCTTAACTAGATGCTGATTCGGCCTCTCTGGTTCATGGCAAGCGACAAAACGCGCAAAGGAAGGCAGGCGATGACGAAATCAAAGGTGGTCTGGAGGGACGTCGGGCATGGACAGGTGGGAAACAGCAAGCACACTCCAAGAATGTTGTTTACGCTGTTCGACCGGAGTCTCACGTGATGTGGCCCTACATCGGCCATGCTTTGCCTCGTAAGCAGCCTCAGTTGAATGTCTGCACTGGCTCAGCCTCCCTCTTTCAGTCTTTGGGCCTTTGGGGCTTGTACAATGCTGCAGTTGAGCCCCATGTTGAGGTCTTTGAAGTTTGAACCTTCGGGGCAAACTATTGGGCAAACGTCTTGGGCTAGGTATGATGGCATGGCGGCATGACTCCATGACAACCAGCCGCACAGAAACAACAGCCAGTCGCTGACATGATCCCCCCATGACGCATGTTCAACCTGCACCCAGATCCCTCTAGAAACCTTTCCTTCGTCCAGGCTGCAGCGAGAAGGGGGAAAGGCGAGCAGTGAGAAACAGTGACAAACCGTGTTCACCAGCCGTTGCCCTGGCTCGACTGCATCTTTGCTTCGTCCGTTCTTCGGCTCAAGCAAGGCAACAACAGGTAATACGCACGAGACGAGGCTGGACGTGAAACTTCCCGCCCTGGTTCGTGCACATGCATTCACTCAGATGCCAGCACGTGGCTAGGCTGGATTCTCTTGCTTGCTTCTTGTTGCATATACACACCAACGTACTTATCGCGACTGCAGCGGCACGCCTTCTGGAAGATGCCTTCGATATCTTGCGCTTCTTCCTGCCGAACAACTTCGATATAAGTGCCGCAAGGGGCAGAGATGTCCATAGCCATCTCAGCACAGCAATGGAAAGTGTCCCCGTACTTCTCGCAGACCCGCTCGTAGAGAGCCAGCCTCGCTCAAACTCCAATGCAATTGCAACTCAGCCAAACATCGCCGTGTGCCGAAACGTAGGGTGGGGCAACGGCTCTGACCCAGCATATCTCTCCATGAGCCCATTCACCTGAAAAGATACAAGCAAGCTGGAGAGTTTCGGCAAAAATCTTCAAGGTGAACCCCGACCTCCCCAAGTTTGGCTGGGTTGCGGCGCCGGTAGACCTCTTGGATGAGAGCCTGAAAAAGCAACATACACACGGCACTTCTCAGCAGTGCAAGGCCGTGCTGAAGGGAACTCCGGGCCTTGGCCTCAAGGGCGATCTTCAGAGTAAGCTCCCTCTCCTCCTCCTCAGCCTGCGCTGCCTCCTTCTCTTCCTCAACTTCCTGGCCTTCCTCTTTCTTTTCACCGTCTTCACCTCAGCTAAATGCTGTAAAGGGCGGCAGGCCGTCTGCTTCGATGAGGCGAAAAAACTTGCGGGAAAACGATTTCTATTCGTTGGCAATCAGCCACTCGCAGCTTCTGAACCTTCCTCGGCATCATCGGCTTTCTCATCCTGGCTCGACAGGTCGACGGCTTACGCAAAGATCTGCAAAAGTGTGCACGACTGAAGCGGCATGAGGGCAGACGATCGTGAGATGAGGCATCTGCAGGCCGAGGTCCTTGTGGTCGTTGTTCGTCATGCTTTGGAGTTCTTTCTGACCTGCAGCCTGAGCATTACCATGTGGTTTGCAGAAGAAACTGCCGGAGCCAAAAGGCCTCGCCAGCAAGCTCATCAGCAGCTGCGACGACCATGGCCACCTTGGGTATTCCGTGAATGGAAAAGCCTGTACTCTGGCTTGTAGCTAGAATGAGGCCACAGCCACGTCCGCGTGATCTTGCTTCTCCTAGGACTTGCTCAATATATCCGCTTCCGGTATCCAGTATCTTCTTCCGTGATGCCCCAAACGGCCCAAAGCAAGCTTGCATGAGGTTGGCCTCTGTATCTGTCGCCTTTCGATCTCCATCCTCCGGCCGTCGCTTCCTCACAGACTCACAGAGATGGATACGGCGGTTTCACTTCTCACACTTCAGTTTTCCATTGCTTTTGCAAGAACCCCACCTGCGTCGCCGCTTGCCTTGGCTGCAAAACGAAGTAAGCCCTCCCATCGCAGAGTTTTGTACCAAGGAACGCTTGACCCTGATCTTCTCATGCCCGTCGTGTCCTGCTTAAAGCGGAGTCTCACTCCCCGCTGCCTTGCAGTGCCGAGCCCATGGAGCCCTGCCTGCGGCAACCTTCGCGTCGGTGGCCGAGTGATCCTGCCTGATTCTAATGATTATATGCCCTGTGCTTCGGAGATCGGAGCCTTTTTCTCTGAGGCCCCACTGATCTTCGCTGGCACTGGAGGCATGGCTCTTCGCCCCGGACTCCTTGTGCATGCTGGCAGAGGTTTTCAGCTGCACTTCGGCGCTCGCGGACTAGCCAGGCGAGGTTTGAAGGGGTTGCATGGGGCATCAAAGAGCTCGCAGGTCTGCAGCCGAAAGAACTGTCGTCTAGAGCACCTGCAAGAAATTATTGGACCAAACCCCTTAAAGCATAATAAGGCAGGGTGTTCTCTGTATGCTGTATGGCCTCAGCCTCTTCTTCCTTAGCTTCCTCGCTCTTCCTCGCTTTTGCCATGATGACTCGCAGCAAAAGCGTGGTGAGAAGAATGGCCTGTCCGATGCATCCGATGGGCTGCGTGCCGGAGACGGGGCCTTACAGGCGAATCGGGGGATGCTGGGCGACAAGAACTGGGGATCTTCCCTTCAAGACCAAGCTGTGCCATGCAAGGCATGTTCTTGATGAGCGTGCGGCCGTCTTCCGCGCTGCAGGGCGGACCTGGCCGGATCATGCCAGCTTTCAGCAGCTCTTTCAGTCTACGGCTGGGCCTGGCCTTGGGTCTTGCAGCAATAGCCGGCACCTCCACCTCCATTCGGCATAGAAATGCGGGGGATGATGGAATTCCACGGATGTCACATCGAGCAGAACCTCGGCTTCCTTTACCTCCTCTTGCAGGGTCTCCTGCCGAAGGAATCGCCACCGTGCCGGCCTCTAAAACCTTGCATCCCGGGCCTGCTGCCAATACTGAGCAAGCTCGGTGGCATCAACAGCGAGGTCGTCGTACTTCTCGGGTTCAGCTTCGGACTCCTTCTCTGCGTCCTCTGATCCACGACAAAGGAGCCAGGAAAACGCCCAAACCTACCAAGAAAGACTCCAAATCCGTATCCGCCTGCGACTCTTCCTCGTCCTTCTCCTGGCTGGCTTCTTCAGTGCACTCTTTCTCCGCGTCTTCGTCGTCCTTCTCATCATCATCTTTGTTCTCCTCGTCCTTGTCCTCCTGTTCATCCTCTTTCTCTTGGTCCTCGTGCTCCTCCTCTTCGGCCTCTACCTCCGTGTCCTCTTTTTGACCGGACTCTGCCTCTCCCTCCTCCACGGCCCCGTCGCCGTCGCCCTCATTCTTTTCTTCGGCTTCCGGCTCCTTCTCACCATTCTCGGAGGCCTCCTCTTCATCCTTCCGTCTCCTTCAGTCACTGCTGGCAGTACGAGTCGCCCTCTTGTGCCGGCTTGCTCATTGCATAGTAAAAAATGAAGGTATGACGCCACTGGGGGTGAGGGGTTCGGAAGAATCTGCGCCTCTCTTTCTTTCTGCATTTCATCGAACATGCTATTTCAGCCAATCGCCCTGAAATAGTCGGGAGCAACCACAAAGCTGTCTACCGAAGCTATGGGGGTTTCATGATTGATGCAGGCAGAGCGATGCTGTTGCCGGGGCCTCTGTCTGGCGTTAAGCGAGAGGTTCTGCAGGCCGGCTTGTTTCCCAAAGCTCCAGGGAGGGTCATGTTGAGCAACAAATGTGGCCTCTAGCAACTTCCAGTGCTCGCGTGTCTGCGCGAGCTGGCGCCAATTCGGGCCCGCCGTCCCGGGATGTGCCGCTCCGAGGCCTTAAGGGATTGTAGTGTCGAGGGTGCTTTTTGTGCCCCGGCGGCCTCGGTGCTGTTCCTGCCGGGCCATATCTCTCCAGCCAAGCCCATCTCTCTCTCTCTCTCTCTCTCTCTCGCTCGCTGCTTGTGTCGTATTTGCAAAGGAAGGTGAACATCAACCACCTCCTCCTCCTGCATCGCTCACGTCCGCAAGACCCCAAACCCATCCCAACACCATCTGGCGATTCCTGCCTGCGCCGCCGGCTCTTGCGATCCTTTTTTGGCGACTGGGAGCCCTCGCTGGCCTCTGGAGCTGAGGGTTTTGGTCTGCCCGGCGCCCGTGGGCCATGGAGAGCTGAGAGCAGCGCAGGAGCTTCGCTCTTCTCCCGCCCTTGTCGCTTGGCTCGCTTCGCCTCCAGGAGCCTTTTGAAGCTAGGCTCCTCCTCGGAGTCACAGCGAGCACGGCGGTTTCCTTTGTCGAGACACCCTAGGTAAACTCCTAGACCTTCTCCACATAAGACAAGAAGTCACGGCCTCTCGAACCTCTATCACTTCGCTCGTCTCGCTTCCGGTGGTCTCCACCACCTCCGGTAGCACCATTCCCGGATTCCCACCTGCCTCAAGGCTTCAATGAACGGTGCCTCTTGCGAGGCGTCGGCGCGACCGATCAGGCCTGCCCCAGGAGAAGTTGCCAGGTTTCTGCCAAGTACCGGGACACGCGTGGCAAGCAACACGAGACAGCAGATGACGCGAGACAAGCTGCGCAACAGACATGTGTACAAGTAGGTAGGTAGTGAAAGTTGCGGAGCCCGACCTCTATGCAACGAACCATAATAGCAACAACAACCACCGTAAGAAGCATAACAAAAGCAACAGCAATACTGATACTCATAATGTTGGTGATAACAACAGTAACAATGACAACAATAATTACGTCAATAACGCTACCAATAGCAATCGCTTTTCATCACCACAGGCAGTCAATTGACAACACAAACTCTTGCAGAACGGGCTTGGTCTGATGCGACGAGGAGTAGCGACCGCACAACACTCGGCACGACTTCCGTGACGCGCGCGCGCGAGCGCGCCTCTGAGGGGTTCTAGCATCAACGGAGGACAGGTCTTCATACTCGGATTTTGCTCGCCTGCGCCCATCCCGGTCGTTTCGGCGCTTGCTGTTGCTTCGACCTGCCACGCGCTTTTGCGGGCTGCCAGCTGACATGGACCCGGAAAGTCAGGCCTCGGCGCGTCTGTGGAGATTGCCTGCCTGGAACTGACAAGCGCTGTGAGAATCCATGCCCAGGACGTGTTATTAATTTTGTTACCTCGGCGTAGCTGCAGGGTACCAAAAAAGAGCGAAAAAAAGGCCCAAGCCGTCGAAAAAAACCCAAGAAACCACCCAGCGGGCCCAGAATGAAGTGCCTTGGCGGCCCTGACGACTCCTCCGACGCCGACTGCGGTCCCGGCCTGCCGGCGCACCCACAAAAAGGGGCTCTCTAGACTCGACGCGGGAAGGCCATGATCGAATCCTTTTGGGGTTTAGGGGTTTTTGTTGTTTTTTGTTCCTCTCGAGGGCAGGGTTTATGGTTCAGGGTCTAAGACTCCACAGTGTCCCGCGATGCCTCTTCCCTGTCTTGGATTCCGAGCCCGTCATTATCATTCTCGATCGGCCACAAGCAACTCGCGAGTGGCTACGTCTCCTGCCTCGGCCAGACCCACTGCGGGCCACCATTCGGGGTAGCTCCTGACATAGCAATGAAGCCCATCAAAGCACGAGGTTAAGTAGAGCCTGCAGAGGTTTGATCTTCATTTTGATTGATGCCGCACCGGTGTGCATGCATAATTACGGCGCTACAAATCCCAGTCTCGTATCTCGGACAATCCCACGAAGGCTACCGCATAGGCCCCCGCCCTGTATCCTACCAACGCGCCCAGTGGAAGAATGCCCAATGCCAAAACTGTCAAGGGTCTTCACTGGCACAGAGAGTGGCCTGCTACTGGAACCCAGATGCAGTCATCGGGGCGGCAGCTACACCAGTTGCTTTGTAACTTAGTTAAGTCTAGACTCTAGAGGGTTCTGTGGGCTGAATGGTGGGCTGTTGGGGTTGGGGTTGAGGAGTCGGCTGACGGGAGTGCTGTAGCGCGGGGTTGGAGGTAAGTACTCTGTGAGCTTGGTGCCGCAACATGCACAAACTGAGTTGCGTGTGACGGCAGGGGTAAGTTAAGTTGGCGGCAATGACCTGCAAACCAGCACCTCTTCCGTGTGCGAATCTCATGGTTGTCTAAACCAAAACTGAGCTTCAGTGCAAACAGGTCAATCTCCTCCTAACATCCCCTCTCGAGATTCCGGGGCAGACTTGCGCAGCGGCCAAAACTTCTTCTGGCTTCCCCTAGATCCACGACGGCGAGCTGTCCAAGTGAAACATGCTGCACGCCAGCCGTGTGGGAGACGTCGGCTAGCCGGTGCTGGCACGACTCACGGTTTGAAATCTTCAGACTTCGGAGCTCCGAAGAAGCACTGCAGGTGAGAGATTGTCGAGAATCCTGTCGCCTCGCCACCTCGGCCTCGGCCTCCCAACTGCAGTGCTTCTCGAAGCTGTACCGAGCTAGAACGCCATCACAAAAGCCTCACTGCGCTAGGCCCTAAAGATGGGCCCACGGAATCTCAAATCTACTTGCTTCTCAGGCCACTGAGGCGCTGAAATGCACGCTTTGGCGCAATGTCAACTCAAATTTCTCCTAAAGCAGACGCCATCTTAGGCTTTCCCAGACTTCCTCAAGAGGTCTCTAAGCATCAGCGCCTGATGGCGTCTGGAAAGCGGACCCACATGCATACACTAGATGTCAATATGGCCCACAGTCGATGAGGCTCACCCACTTCTCCTTGCCGCTTCCGAAGGCAACGTTCAAACGTTTGTGCTCAAGTTACAGCGACAACCAACACGGGACGGTGTCACCATCAAGTCGCTTGACTCCGCCACCTGGACTGCAGTACAAGCCGCCCTCGCTTCATCTCGCATCTCAAGGCAAAGCTGTGGCTGCTAATAACAAGGGCCACGCGAGGATCAATTGTGAACTGGGATGCCCGAGCTGGGAGAGCCATGTACCATCAGACTGAGGCGAGGCATCTCATGAAGCGCTTCCGTGGCACAGGCGGGCACCACCCCCGTTGCCTTCTGATTGACCGCAAAAGCACGCCCTTCGAGTCGCCCACAGAGCAGTGGCTATCTTGCTCAAAACGTGCCAAAACTACTGAGACACTTGCGCTCCATGTCCGGATCAACCAGTCCACGGCCTGTTGACTATGCCATGATTATGCGAGCCTCGGACGTATCTCTGACCTGTGCAACTTGTTGTTGGTGGCATGGTTTGAGCGGTCTTTTAGGATAACAAACCTTCCTGCAGTCA